AAACGATGCCGTCTCTGTTCGAACAACTACGCGTCCTTGATCTTACATCATGCGCTCTTATCACCGATCAGACAATTCATAAGATTGTTCACAGCGCACCGAAATTACGTAACCTTGTATTAGCCAAATGTGGAAATATTACAGACGAAGGGGTTTACCACATTACAAGGTTGGGTCGGCACTTGCACTATCTTCACCTGGGCCATTGTTCGCGAATCACCGATCACTCAATAACCCATCTAGCTCGTCATTGTAATCGCTTGAGGTATCTCGACTTGGCATGCTGTACCCAGCTCACAGATTCGTCAGTTTTCGAGCTTTCTCATCTACCGAAATTGCGTCGTATTGGTTTGGTAAAATGCGCTCTCATCACAGATCAAGCCATTTACGCGCTGATCGAAAACCGCGTAGTAGCTCATACACTTGAACGTGTTCACCTGTCATACTGTGTCAACCTCACCATCGCGGCAGTACTAGATCTTGTCAATTTTTGCTATCGTTTGACACATCTATCTCTCACCGGGGTTCCAGCATTTCTCAGGCCGGATGTACAGCGTCATTGCAGGCAGCCACCAAAGGAATTCACTCCACATCAAAGACAAGTTTTTTGCGTTTTCAGCGGTAAAGGTGTCAAAGAATTGCGGAACTATCTCAACAACTTGATTATTGGTCAGAGTCGTCGCGATCAAATTGTGCAATCGTCAATAACGGCTGGCGCTGACATTGATGAGTTAGTGGTATCTGAAGCTGAAGGTGCTGGTGGTGATATTTCTGAGGGTGGTGAAGGTGAGAACGATAATGTTCGTGATGGGAACAATATCGGACAACGAGTTCACAACATAAGTCCAGATGGCGATGATGGCGATGTAGGAAACCCACATGATTTATTGTTCGGAATTTAAGCTAATATAACATTTATTATGTGATATTGTAAATTTGGTAAATCCCATTAAACGAAATTAGGTACATTATTAAGTATATATAAAAAACTCCCTGTTTCTTTAGTTATCTTTTATTTCTTTTTTAAAAAAAGAGGGGGAAATGAGAACGCTTCCATTTAATCTAACGGTTTTCATTTTATTTTATAAATGCATGAAATGATGAATTAATTGGGCGCAGTGATAAATTCTTGCAGTAAAAAAAAAAAATCTTTAAAATAGTGTCTAGATATTATTTTCATAGACAGATTTGATGACTTTACTATAAATAACTTTCTCATATTACAATTTGCGTTGTTTAGAGACTGATTGCATTGTTCCAAAAATTAAATTAACCAGTTCAATTAAGAACTTGCAAAATCGATGTAGCAAATAACAATGATAAGTACAGATTCATATAAGTAATTCTAAGGGCTTTACTATATTTTGTTATTGATTAACTAACGCGAACTCAGAGTTGTATTTTGATGCATGCAGGATTTCTTCGTAATAAATACATATTATTTATGGAATTTTACTAACTCACCAAAAAATAATAAAGGAAAGCGTATTTCAAAATGTTCACAACTTCGAAAAAGTTGGTTTCACCTTTTTCTTGGCAGCGCTATAAGCTTTAATTACATCCTGAACATGAATAAAAAATGAATGACTATAAAAAGTGAACTTAATATCATAAGGCTTTCTTCTACCAACCTCGCTATTGAGCATTGCCCCATTCCATGCTAAAGTATATTCGAGCGCTTCTCGAACGGAATGGTCACGAGAATAGTTTAAAAGGTGCCTGGTATAAATAGGAACATTCAAAATAAGATTCAACAAGACCCACAAAAATAAGAAATACGTTGATATACTTGCTTACTTTGTTCCGAGAGTTGCTACTGGTGATTTAGATGCAATAATCTCCGCCGTTTTAATGGCCTCCGCTACAATTGTAGTATCGGCAATGAACATGAAGAATAAGGTGATTAAATACGTTTTAATAATTGAAATCGCTTAATTACCCAATGCTTCCTCTTTAGTTTGTAGAACTTTGTTAACCAAGCCAAAATTAAAAGCTTCGGCGGCGAAACAGCTACGATAATACAATAAAGTGAATAAATATAATGAATTAGAGTCAAAAAAGCTCTACTTACTTGCGACCCGTGAGGCATAATTCTCTGACGAGGCTGTCATTACCCACAATTTTTGGTAAACGTTGCAATACCCCTGATTACATATCCTTTAATTAGTGCTTTCCAAATAAAAAATAGGTTTGTTAATATTTAGCTGCTTACCCACGTCGGCTGCCAATCCAATATCAACCTCCTATCATCAACTAAAGGTCAGTCAAATAGACTCGTGATACAAGTGATTGATTAGATAGTACCTTGACACTGAAATATGCATCCTGCGAGCAATATCTAATATCACAAGCTGTAACTAGATTAATTCCGGCACCTATGCAACCATTATGGATCGCGGCTATAACAGGCTTATCACAAGTTTCTATTATGGATATTGAGTCTTGACACAACTAGTTGAACGAAAATAACGGATAAGGATACGCAATCGCGTAATTGAAGGTTGTGCCTTATGACCTCACGAAAATTTCTTACTTTAAGCCAGCGACGCACATGAACCATCTTCCGAGCAATGTCTTCCTCATTCACTTTAACAACCCCTTCTAAATACGCGACTACCTTGAATAAGAGTTTTAGAATATTAATTATTTAAGACGCATACAGAATTGATAATTTTAAAGTTCAAGTTTACAGTCAATTCCGGCGGTGAAAAGTTTCCCTGCTCCCGAAATCACGACAGCCCTGATCGCGGAATCTGCTCCGATCCTCGCAAAACATTCTCCCAACTCCTTCCACAAACTAAAAGAAAAAGATGTTTAAACAACATAATCGGCTTTATAAACTGTTTGCTACAACGTCTTGACTAATCTTACGTTTGGTTAAATGCGTTTAGTTTTTGGGGTCTATTCAATTCTACGTGAATCACAAATTGTGTAGGCAGAGTTATTTTCAAAGTCTGGAAATTATATTCAGACATTTTTTTTCAAGGAGACGTGAAGGCCGCAGGAAAATTCGACGTTATACACATGACGACATATAACTACCAATGAGATTTTCGATATAAAATCATAGCACTTGTTGTTTTATGTATATTGCTTGACTTCTTTTCTATATAATTCATCTTTGTGCATATGATAAACATTGCTTAAATAATAGTACAAATAAAAAGGGAAGCAAATAAAGCAAGTAAAATGAATGGAATGGAGTGTAAAAAAATAAAATAAGACATACACGAAATTTAAAAACGATTGTCCAATTCAGGTAGCTCCTATACATACACATGCTCTTAATTCTGATGTTGATAAATGCAAACATATTAGAAAATGGTTACCATCATTTCCACGGTACCGCATTTGGGTCCCATTGCTTTTGTGCTTCCTGTTGAACAGATGGCTCCCAGTTGTTCCCAGGCAATGGCCGATTCCTTTTGATTTTAAAGGTTTAGAACGGATAATTGGGAGGTATAATAGTCAAGAAAATTCATTAAACTCAAACCTGCTGCCATCGTCTCCAAAATTTGCATTATTATTATTTTTATAGTAGTTTTTTGATTCATGATTATTATTAGGATAGGATTGGTGATAACCATCAGAATTAAAATTTTGATTCATGTGAGGTGAACTATATCCATGTGATATTTCTGAATTATATTGATTATTTGCCTTTGGTAGATTGACCACCGGGAAGCCACGTTCAGGTTGTGATGCATATTGTGGACTGTTTAGCGGTGGGCCCTGTGCATAGAAATTTGACTGTTTCGGTAATGTATGGAATGATGATGAGTGGAAAATATGGCTATTGTCGTTAAAAGAAAGGTAAAAATGAAAGCATCTAATACCTGCTGAAATCTTCTCGGAGATGATGCATCCCGATTTTGATTATTTCTGTAATTATTTCTACTGTCATCCCACGTGATAGGTCTTCCTTTGTAATCTTCTCTTCCGTAAACATTACTTGTACCAACCCTAGTATACTCATCATTTGGCCTTTGAGGTATAAAAAAAAGTTAAGTTTCGAAGTAACAATACAATTTTTCGAAATTATCATCTGCTTACATGTCTCCATGTGATTGTAAAAAATCAGGGATTTCTTGATTACATTCCATAAGTATTTTCACCAATTCGTACGCAATGTCTGAATTATTCTCATTATAAAAACTAGTCGCCAAACCCTTATTTCCCACACGAGCGGTTCTAATTAAAATATTAATTAATAACCGTCAATGATAAATGCACAAGAAAACTTGGTAAATCCAATCAACCTGCCAATCCGATGAACATATTCATCTATTTGTTCGCATAGATCATAGTTAATAACGTGCATAACATTTTTAATATCTAATCCACGCGCTGCTACTGATGTAGCAATCAGAATTGGAGCTCGACCATTCCTAGAAATTTTTTAATTAATTAATATAATGTAAAAAGAACCCATATACTTCTGCACAAAAATATATATTTATTTACTTAAAAGATATTAGCGCATCTTCTCTTTCGCGTTGGGTACGATCTCCATGAATACTGGTAGTTGGAAATCCCTGATTGTAAAGGTACTCATCTAGAGAGTCCGCACCACGTTTCGATTTAACGAAAATCAAAGTACGAGATGGAGGCTGTTTCAAAAGCATTTCAACAAGCTGATTCCGTTTTTTCTCTTCTTCAACGTATAAAATCTATTAATCATACAATAATGCATAGATTTTTGATTAAAGGGTGATATCTAAGATAATTACAATAGCACTATTACCTTTTGTGTGATATCACTTGTAGTGCCACCGACACGGCCAACCGTGAGAAAAATGTATCCTTTTGCCAGAAAATCTTGAGCAAGATCCTGGATTTTCTTCGGAAAAGTAGCTGAAAACATTAAAGTCTGTCTATCGCCATCATTAACAAGATCTATTAAATAATAACTATAAATGAGAAAAATTAAAATGTAATGATTGATTGATTGAATTTATTTTTAATAAAAGCTACCCGACTTCTGCACGATTATTCTAATATCATCTTCAAAACCCATATCCAGCATTCTATCAGCTTCATCAAGCACAAGAAACCTACAAAATATTTCAGGAAGAAATAATAAGACACTAATTAATATATTATTGTTATTATTATTATCTATTCTCAAATAAAAATAAACGTACTTGACCCTGCGAAGGCTAATTATACCTCTTTCTAAGAAATCCTTTAATCGACCCGGTGTCGCAGTAAGCACATCGCAACCTTTCGCTAATTCTTCTTTCTGCAGAGCTGGATCCGCGCCACCATACACCACGCTAAATTGCGTCAAAATCATAGTGTTAAATGATATAAGCCGTAAAAAAAAATGTAATGAGCTGCCTCGCACACCTACCATGGCCTCATCATGCTTCTATAAGTAAATTTGCGACATTCGTCAAAAATTTGGGTCGCCAACTCACGAGAAGGTGCAATTATTAAGACTAGGGGCTCGGATTTAATTTTACGTAGTACGCCAGGTTGTTGCCGAGGTGCTGCGAGGTTCCTCTTCCCAAAAAGTTGTGACAATACTGGTATAAGAAAAGCTGCCGTCTTCCCCGATCCTATCAAAAGAAAAGATCAAAGATCAGATATATGCGTACAGATGATGCCCAATATTTAAAAACAATCATTCACCTGTTTGGGCGCATGCCATAAGATCTTTTTTACTTGTGATAATCGGAATTGAATATTTCTAAAATACGATAGCAAAATGAATTCGAAATAAAATTTATATTCAGCATAATTAATAAAAAAAATACTTTACTTGAACGGGCGTTGGGACTTTATATTTGGCCAATTCGATATTTTCTTTCATAACTTTGTGAAGATTGGACTCATCAAACTACAAAAATAAATTCTTCCATTACGAGGTGTTCGAGGTATGTCGTGAATTATTTAACATTCGCTCTTTAATTACCGAATTTATAGGTTCTATTTGTACCCCATCTGCACTTTTTATGTTAACTTTGATTTCTTCATATTTTGAAAAGTTGATGCCCGTGTGTACATGGTTTTCTTCCCCAAAGAGCTCATTCTCCAAATCCTCATCCCTTGGAGCAATACCAGTTTCATCATAAGAATCTTTCCACTCGTAACGACGACGGAGTGCTGCCCACTGACGTTTCTCCGAATCTGTTTGTTGTTCCTGTTTCTGAACCCATTTTCCCGCACCTTTTTCTTTACTTTTAAAGCCAGACATTATTTGTGACTTGGAGGGTTGTCTTTTTTTTGAGTATTTATATATGTATCACATGATGATCTAACCAAAGTAAGCCACAATATCCATTCGATTTTTCATAAATTTATACTATTATGCTTAAATCTTATTACAATACAATATCGATATTTTATATACAGATTGATAGATTTATTAATTTATTATCATTATTAATTATCTATCTTATTTTATTATATTTTGTTATTATTTATAATAATTATATATACTGTTAATGCTAGCTTGCCTATAATAAATTATTTAAGTTGCAAAGGAAAAGAAAATTGAAATCAATATATTGTTAAAGATAGTATCAAGTAGTTATAAATATTTACTCAGATTTATATGTAAAAAAATTATAATAAATATTATATTTAAAACACTTTGAAAATTATTATCTTCTTTTTTTAAAAAAAAAAAAAAAATTGCAATAAGTATTAAATGCAAGACTTTATTTTTATTAAACCCAAGTTTTAATAGCCATTATATTAAGAATCTTTTATATAAAGCAAATTAATTCTAACCTATTATAATTTTCCAAAATACTAACTAACATTTCTTGAGTATATCTATATTTTAATTTTTATTAGGAGTTTAGTTATAATTTTAATATGTTAATCATTACTAAATTTCTTATCATATTTATATCTTCAGTTAAATATAAATCCCTAAATTAAAGTAAAGACATAATTCAAATATTCCTTACTATTAAAAAAGTTTTTTTTTAATATAAGATCAAAAAAAAACTACTTACAAATGTTTTTTGCAATTTAGGTCACTTGATTCAAGGGTTTTTTGAATTATGTTCCTATTAAAATAATGAATAAATAATTGTGTTCCTTCAAAAGGGACATAATTGATCTGCAAAATTTTATATGCTAAATAATTTAAAAACTTATCCTTACCTTCAGCTTATATTATTATAGTATCCATGAACTTACTTTTTTATACTTCCTAGTAAATATTTCAAGAGTTATCCTATAATTAGTATATACTATCAAAACTGAAGACCTATAGATTTGATAAAACATAATTCTTAAATTCTCCAACAAATACTTCATATACTCTTGGTTAACTTAAATTATTAAATCTAGAGATATAAATATCATATAGAATACAACTTCTATAAAGTTACTACCAGTGTCAGCTTTATTTATTCATGTCATATAATAATTCTTTTCAAAGTTACCTAATTAGATTAACATATAATTGTGAAATAGTTATAGTTCTATTTATATTGAGAGCCTTGTAACTAATATAGTGTAATTATTTTTTATTAATCTTTTAAAAGAAAAAAACTAATCATGGGTTTTGAATTTGTAATAAGAAGAGATATATATATATTTATTAATTGAAGTATTCAAAAATAAGTTTTTATTAAGAAAGTCTATATCTTTGATAAGAAAAAATTATTTTTAATATAATTAAGAATAATAGAGTAATATAGTGTAATGAAGATTGAAATAAGTAATTCTAGAGAAAAAAAAATTTAGAAAGAAAGAAAAAATTGCTTAGAGGAAAAAGATAAAGAAAGTTAAAGAAAGAAATAAATAAATAAATAAAAATATATATATAATTACACTTAAGCTTGTAATTGCTAAACATATATAGAGTCTTACAAAAAAATAATTGATTGCCTAGGCCTTTCTAATTTTTGTCTGAGACTACTAACATGTATAGGTTTGATCTGCTCTATATATGTGATATAAATTATTTACTATTAATTTAATTCCCAAAATCCTCAAAAATAATTATATTATAACTTAATATTTATTCCTTAAATTGTAATGCAGACAAATTTGCCTACTTATTTAAAATTTTAATAAGATTTTAAAAAATTTTAAAAATTTTTTAAATATTAATTTTTATAACTTACTATATTATAAAAAATATAGTTTAAGATATTTTTTATTAACTTTATTAAGTAAAAAATTAAAATTTTATTGGAAAATTTTAAAATAAATAACTTGCAAACTTTGTGTTTAAAATTTTAATATAAAAAAAAAAAAAAACTCTTTCCCACTTACCTCCACTTCGTCAAAAACTTTTTTTTTAGAAAATTTCTTCTCTTTCCTTTTTGCTTCTCTTCTTCTGCCAAAGGTGAGAGCTTGCAGCAAGTTGAGTCTGAGATGTGCTGACACCACACGAGGCTCTTC